GGAATTTACATAAATAATTTATAGTTCAGAAAATTAAAGTTGAAAAATATTTTCCACATTATTAGAGTTCACAGTATTTAAAGTATATCAAGCTTTCCCCCTTATATTTAAAACTATATTGTCTTAGCAGAGAATCTAGTCAAGAATAAAATGATCAAGTTTCTGGTTGTTTTCAGTGCACAAGTAGACACTATTCCACCATCAGGCTGCGAGAGCACCAGGCTGCAGCATTTCATCCCAGCCCTTTGTCTCCTGAGTGCTGTGACCCGCAGAGGTCACAGTGAGGAATGGTTCCAGCGTCACCAAACCACTCCACAGTGGGCACATTTGCCAAGCGGTAAGGTCTGGTGGTCTGATGCCTCATTTCCACATAATACTTTTATAGCCCTGAAAATGGAAACCTGGCATCAGAACACAGCGGGACTGTTAACACTAGTACAAGGCACTGCACTGGGGTTTATAGGAAAGATCACGTTTGCATAGATTGCTAGCAGTTTAGTGTGCAATAAAATATAGGCCCAGCATGCGTGGCTTTGTGATGGATGAAGCCGCGTGATGCTCTCAGACCCAGGAGAGCAGTCTACTACTCTCCAGCCCCAGCCCTGGAGCAGATCCTCTGGTGCTGTCCTTGAGTCCCCTATGGGAGAGTTTTTTGTTCAAAAAGCTGCAGGTCAAATCGGACCCAGACCTCCCCGGTGGAGACCTCATGCAACAGGAGTCGGCGGGTGGTAGGGCCTTTGCTTTCTTGTTCTGTTCGAATTTTTGCCAGTGGAACTTCAGTACGACCCAGGAAATCTGGCAAATAAACATCATATGAGAGTCAAAAGTCTTTGTTCTTTATAAAGTTGTTTAAAACTACCTCAGGAAGAATGTCTCAAACAGGACTCATAAAACATCTGTTAATACTTGTGTCTAGCTGTCCCCCCAAAGCCTCATGTGGTCATAGGTGGGGCTTTTCGGAGTTGGCTGGATCTAGAGTGTGTAATGCTAGGATTAAGGGTGCCCCACCCTGCTTGTGTGAGTGCTACCCGCTCTACGGGTAGCCTGGTTAGAATATAAGGGACAGAAAGAGGGCTGTTGTTGTCGCTTGCTGCTTGCTACTGCACTGCTTGCTGCCTTCTGGCTGCCCAGCCATGGACTGTTTTTCCTCTGTCACGCCGCCCTGCATTGGAGCCAGCCAACTATAAACTGAAACTTCTACAAACTGTGAGCTGAAATGAACCTTTACTCCTTCAACTTTGGGTGTTGGGTATTTTGTCTTAGCAAGAGGAAAAGTAACTAAGAAAATGCCCAAATCCAAAGCAAATAACTTCTGGTGTACAGAAGGCTGGATTCTGAGTGGATGTGTGCATAATGGCAGCAGATTCACCTCAGAGCAGCTGCCTATGTGGACTTCAGTCTCTGTTCTGAGACCAGTGTTCTAGTCTTTCAGCACAGTGTGTCTAATGACTGGGGTCAAAGCCCTGAAATACATGTGAGGCTGTTCCCTCCCCAGGGATTGGCAGCAACCTGCTGCTGCCAAGACAGCCCCGTGTCATTTCCTGTAGGTGTCGAAGGGCACACACTGGCCAAGCACCTTGGGTCCAGACCATAGATCCTAGTCAACTGGGAACACCTTTAAGCCTCCTACCCAAGTTATACTTACCGTCTGGAGAAAACTGGTCTCTGTCAAACATAGTGAGACACAGCACATCTTGGTACAGATCCTTGACAAAGAACTGGCAGTTAAAGTTCCATTTGGGGTTTAGAGTGTCCTGGAGGGTTCTGGTAGTGTAGCTCTGGGAGCCCATGCTGACTTCACAGTATGGATTGCTCTTTCCTGAGCAGAAACAAACCACAGACGCATGGCACAGTAGGTAAAACAAATGACCAACAGGCCATGCCCGAGTGGAAGCAGGGTCCACCATGCCGCTTCACTGGGGGCCATGGCAGCAGAGCCACTGGTCGGTGGGCCACATTCGCCTGTGGCTGGGCAGTTCAGCCTCCAGGTTCCCCGTGCTTACCCTGGGGAGCAGCTGTGAGCTCAAGCTCCAGGCCTCCCCACCCCATGAGCTGGGCAAGTGCTGGTGCAGGCTTCTTAGTGCTTCGCCATGCGGCACTCGGGAAGCCAGCCACTGGTGCTCGCTTGCTGGGGAGCCAGAGCAATGACCCTGATCTAATAGAATAGCTTGCCACTCTTTGAGTGGCACAAGAAACACTGACTTTTAGGAAGCATCCCTTCGTTCAGTGTTCAGGAGGGTTAGGAGCGAAGGGTGGGGCATTAGGACATCTGCTGATGTGGGCACTTACCATTTGGTTTGCAGGCTTTTAACTCTGTCGCCTCAATGACATGCACCATCAGACGCCCAATGCCCGAAGTCTTCTGAGAGCGGGCTGCAGCACAGGAAGACAGGTTCCATTAATTCCTTCTCTGAGACGTGGGCAGCCCAGGGATGACACTGAGCTGGAGACCCTCACAGTCTCTCTTGGTACTTTTTTCTTTTTGATGCTGGGGATTGAAGCCAGGGTCTTGTTCCTGCTAAAGAACACTTTCTACCACTAAGCTACATCCCCAGCTCTGTCTTTCTCAGAAAACACAACACCCTCATCTGCCCCTGCACTGGACCTCAGTTCCCAGTACCTGGCTGCTCGGTGCCTTTTCCCAGGCTGTGCCACCTGCTAAGAAGCCCTGCTCGGCATCTCTGCCCATCAGCACCCTACTCGTACTTCAGGGTCCAGGGCAACTGCACAGCCAATGCCCAGAGCTCTCCGCTCCTGTGTCCACTACCCTTGACCCTCTAGCAGCCCACGGCCCACAGGGCCTGACATGTTCTGTAATGACTCTTTTATTCCTCAATGTATTAACCCCTCAATTGCTTAGTAAATAGTAATATTTTAAAATGATACATGATATCCGTTCAGCACTTTCTAGCAAGTAACATTTATAGGATACTTTCAATGTGCTAGGCATATGCTTTTATATAAAAAATATTTAAATTATAGCTCCCCATTTCATAGAAGAGAAAAACTGAGGCTAGAAGGGACCATAATGTACTCAACACAGAGCTTTCTAGTGGCAGGGTCAAAATGTAAACATCAGATACTCAAGTCTAAACCATTTACCAAACTTCCAGTTACATTTAAGTAAACATTTCAATTTAGAACGCAGTTTTATTTAAGGTCTTGTTCTACTCAGAATGCTTTCAATACAGACAGATAGGAGCCAGAGGGCTCACACTAGCTTGGTGAAGGTGAAATTTAGTTAAGTAGGTTAAAGAAAGATGCTTGGTGAGCTGTGAACTTTTTGAGTTCCAAGCACATGGTCCAGGCTCATCTGTGCGCACATCTCCATTTCTAAATGAGCCCTCCGGTTCCCTCAAGGCAGGGCTGGGCCTTACTCGTCCCTACAGGCCCAATCCCTGAAGTTCTGAGCCTGGCACACAGTAAGTAGCCGATAAATGTCCACGGAACTGAACACTTGGACAAATGCAGAATGGTATGTATCGATAATGATGGTAGGCAAAACTCATGGAAAACTGATTTATACCTTTGACAAATTAAAAGATCACACATTTGTTATGAAATGATTCAATCACTGATTTTCAATAGCAGGCTTTTAAAGTATCATTGAAACAACATTCAGTTAGCAAAAGTTGATTTACACATACCTTTCAGGAATACAGAACAAAGTAAGAGAAACCTGAATAAAAAAACAAAGAGCTGCAGACACTGCAGCCAGAAGCCTAGGCAGGACTGGAGGGGTTAGGGTGGCCTCGAGGTGGGGACAGGCAGGGCAGGTGGAGGTGGCTCGGGACCCTCTGCTGTGGGGAGGCTGGGGGAAGGCCTGGGTACAGCTGAGACTGACAACAGAGGTGGAGCTTGGGGTCCAGGAGGTGAGAACGTGGGGGCTGTGGCAGTTCTAGTCACACTCCCAGGGTGGCAGGGACGCTTGACAGAGGTTAGTACTGAGCCACCCTGAACTGGCAGATCTGTCCTACAGAGACAGAGGACACGATCAACATGGAACTATGGAGCCCGCTGGGCCCAAGTCATGCCGGGCTCTGCACGGGGAGGAGTTAGCAGAAAGAGGGACTCGGGGGACTTAAACAAGCTACGGAGGACCAAGTCCGGAGTTAGATGCAGACTCAAGCCCAGCAGGGCTGCCAGGCGGAAGTCATGCTGATCAGGTGTCAGGGAAGGCAACGAGGAGGAGCCAGTGTCTGACTCAGAGGCTGTAGAATGGAAGAATTTTGGTGTGTGTGTGTGTGTGTGTGTGTGTGTTGGGGTGCTCTGGGATGGACGGGGAGCATGAACAAGGAAGCTTATCAGGGTGCCTACCATGTGGGCAATGGGCCGAGTAACAGTAAGGCTGGGATTACTTTGGGAGAGAACCCTGTCCTTAAGCAAGGAGAGGTGTCCTAAGAGAGCAGCAGCTCTATGAAGAGCACGCCCAGAAGCGGAGGGGACGGACTGCTCTCCCACTGGAGAGGAAAGGCCCGGCAGAAGCCGAGAGGAGGGCAGAGGGCAGGCTGACTGCTGGGAGGAGGCTGGGGCAGGGCAGCAGCGGGCAGGGCGTCAGGAGGCACTGGGACCAGGACACTGGGAGGAGGGCCGAATCCCCAGACAGGGTAAGAGCTGGGGAGGGAGATGAAGCCAGCAGGTCGGGGAGGCGGTTAGGAGGACCCTCAGGGTGAGATCGGGTCCAGAAGCAGGCGAGGACCTGCAGGCGGTGGAGGCTGGGGAGGCCCCGACGGCCGGGGTGGAGGCAGCGCTGGGGAGAGGGGCAGTGTTTCCAGCCCAGGAAGTGGAGCTGAGGGGCACGGGCAGCGAGGGGATCCCGGAGTGGCGCCCAGGCCCGGGGCCACCGCCTAGCCTCACCGCCGACCCTCCCCTCCGGCCCGCACCTTGGTAGGCCTTCTCGCGTTTCCTCTTCTCCGTGTCGATGTACTGCTCCGAGGCCGCCTTGATCTTCTGGACCCAGGCCGTCCTGGGGGAAGCAGAGCGCGGCCATGGGCGCTCCACGCGGCCCCACGGCCCCGCACACCCCTCTTTTGCGAACCTCAGCTTCAGCAAGCTTCCGGTCAGACCCGGAACCGAGGATGAGCTGAGCACTTCTAAAGCCAGCTCCTGACCATTTAGGGCGCCAGGGTGCGGGGTGCGGAGTGCGGACTGGGCAGGGCCCGCCGGGCAGCGGGGGCTCGCGGATCCCCTGGCCGGGGCGGGCGGCCGGCCGGCAGCACTGACCTCTCGTTTATGTTGTCCGTCCGCAGGGTGTAGACCCGGTCGATGTGGGAAATGTGGAAGACGGGCTCGTCGCTGGAAGGGTCTGTGGGCAGCTTCACCAGGACCTCGTTCAGGAAGATGGGCTGAAAGAATCCGGGCCAAACAGGCTGTGAGATGCCGGCGGGCGGAGCAGCCGGGCGGGCTGGGCCTGCGGTCTCCTCGGGCAGAGGTGAGCACGGGGCAGGTGTTCCTGAGCGGGGCCAAAGCCGCCCTCCCTGGGGAGGTGGCACGGGCAGCAGGAGCCACCGGGGCCAGGTGCAGAGTCCGGGAGCACAGACAGGCGCGGGGGAGGTCCCCGGCTGGACCCGCAGTGCTCACCGTTTTATACATTTTGAACTGAGCGTTGGACTTGGAGCTGAAAAGTTTCTCCGAGCCAGAGGAAACAGCAAACTGCTTAACCATGTAGGTGAGAAGCAGGAAGTCATTGAAGAGAAATCCGTGCAGCTCCTTGTTGCTCTTGGTCTTGTACAATTTCCCGCTGTGCAGAAGCTTTCGGGGCCCCAGGCAGTTGGTGAGGGAGTTGAAAATAAGCTGCTGGACGAGAAAGAAAATGTCCCTTTGTAAGTCCCAGCGGCAACCACTCCAGCATCCCGGGCAGGCCTGACGGTTCCCCGGCAGAATCTCGGAGGTGGGAAGGCGGCGGGAATCCAGTCACCTAGCTCTGGGTGGCCCGGTGGAAATCGGTACTTCCATCCACAGAACACCGACTACCAGTCAAATTCAAAGCATTCAAAACAAAACCCCAGCTGTCTCTTTACCAGCAGGAAGATGACAACCCAATGGTGTCTGTGTAGGGCAGGCCCGGGAGCAAACACAGGGTGAGCCAGGTGTGGACCATGCACACGGGTGTGTGTGTGTGTGTGAAGCTGGGGCCCGCCCGGGTCAGCACAGCCTCACCTCTGCGAGGCCCTCACACTGCACGTGTGCCTGCATCCACTCCAGTCGGTCTGAATTCTCCTTCTCCCGAACTCCTTCGTTCACTTGAGAGCAAAGCTCCTCTGCCCGCTCAAGGGCCAGCTTCAGGGAGGAATGGTCCACGTGACTCTCCAGGGTGTTCTCCAGAATCTGGGGGACAGCACAGGCATCAAGGGAGCGCCTGGCCTTTCAACCCACCTGACCACCCATGCTTACTGACCCCTCACAGCTGTGGGGCCCGGCAGGTACGGATCCGCTGCTGTCTCCCTGGGCCCTGGTAATCAGCCCTACAGCACAGGGTGCCTGTCTATCCCCCAGCAACTGAACTCAATGGGCCTTCAGTACAGATGGGCTTCCGATGTGACAAGTATGTTACCTTGCTGACTAGCAACGGGGTGTCCCCACCCTTGTGAACAATCTGATGAAAGCACTGAGTCCTCTGCCACAGAAGACATACAATAAAGTCACATCGTTGGCATGCAGGAAACATGCACTGAGTTCATTCTGAAGCGATTGCAAAGTACTAACGCTACAGGTAAACAGAGGCCAGAATACAGCCCTGTGCTGTCCCTGTCTGGGCTAGTGTGCTGTAGCCAGACTGCTCCACAGCCCTTTGTTTACAATGCAAAAAAGCCCGAAGGCCTCAAGTGTTTATGTGTTACTCATTTGGTGGCAAACCTGACCTGAACAGTATTTGTTTTACTTTCAGTGATTATTCATGTCACTGCAGGGATGTTAGTATTTGGTTACTATTTTGTTAAAAGTGCTGCCCCAGGTTTTGCTTGGGTGTCATAAGTTACAGTCTAAATTCTGAAACATGTCTGCCCCACCTTTCAGTGAAGGGCCCGCGATTGATGTGTACGAGCGGCCAGTTTGCACAGGCAGCTGTAACATGGTGTCTACGCTGAGTTCACAAAGCTAACAAACCAAAAGTCAAGAAATAATCAATAATCTTCCGTTATTCCTGCTGTTTTTCCTGTAAATTTTATCATTAATTTGTGGGATAATTATCCACAATATAATTATGCCTCGAGATGCCCACAGGGCTTGTGTGGGAAGACAGAGGGACTCAGGTGGAGGGTCAGCTGCGAGCTGCAGAGCAATGTCAAGGAGCCCTGAGGTGGTGACCCTTGGGACACCTGGCTAAAGGCGCTCAGGTGCCACATGAATTCGGATCTCAGCAGACAGACAGGAGCCCAGGCTATGCTAGCGGGGCACTCCACTACCTCTGGGGTTCAGACAGCTTCCGCAGCTACACACATGCAGGGGCTGAGACTGTGTACAAACAAGTGCACTGTGACAGTGGATGCTGGGTAGTTTGTGGGAAGGAGTGTAGCAGGTTACCCAAGTGACATCAGATGCCGCCTCTATTTTCCACTTGAAGGCTTCTACCCTGCAGATTGTACACGTGTGCTCCTTTGCATGCACACAAACACGCACGTGCGCACACACAGGGGAGCCTGGTCTGTGGGCACTGGGGTGCAAGGCTGGGCGGGCACCCTGGGAGCTCGCTCAGCTCTTGGCCTCCGTGCAGCTCAGGGGCCCTGGTCCTAGTCGGGGGGCACCGCCGGCCGGAGCACTCACACTTCTGATGAGCAGGGGGTAGCGGGTGATCCTCTGCATGGGCTTCAGCAGGAAGCTAGAGAGGGGCATCCCTTTACATCGAGGGTCCGACGCCAGCTTCTGCAGCACAATGGAGAGGCCCGTGAGAAAATCCTGGCCCTCATTAAGTCACTGGAAACACTGGCCATACTCCTGCCTTTGAACACTTTTTAGATTTCAAATTTCTTTTATTGACTCAAGATCCAGAACAACACACTGTCAGGTTAACAGCAGGAGCCTCTCAGCTCATGTGCCAAGTCCAGCGGCTGCTTCTCGGCCATTCTCATGCACTGCTGGCGGCATGTGTGGCTGTCCTTCCTAGCTCTCTCCCGGCTGCCTCCCCATCTCATGGGCTTTCTCTGTCACCTCCACCCACTCTAACGCAGCTGCTGCTCAGATGCCCTCAGCCCACACCCAGATGTTCTCCGGAGCTCCACCCTGGCCATGTCTCGCACCTCCTTACCTGATGTCCCAAAGCTGTCTCCATGTCAGTAACACCCACTGGGGATGCTACTGTCCTTACTGCATTAGAAACAATCGCTGCCATTTACAGAGCGGCTGTGTGCACCAGGTAATGAACATGCCTTTGCTGTGCTGTCCCTGTGGCCCTTTCTTCATGTGGTCCATTGACGCTCATCTCCTAGGTTCAGCTCATGCTCCCCTCCTTGGTCAGGCTCCGGCCTTGGACAGGCTCCGGCCTTGGACACCTTCCCTCCCCTGCTTGACCTTCTCTGGCTGCTGTTAGCACGCACCACACCAGCCCCGAATAATTCAGGCAGAAGCACCGTGTGTTAGGTGTCTCCATTCCCATCAGACTGCGAATGCTAGGAGGTCAATGACCTCATCTCATTTGCTTCTACTCCCAGTACTAGCAGCACCTCAAGAGAGGAGCTAGTACTCCAGGATGACGACATTTAATTGCTTAAAATGCATGTGCTAAGATAAACTAGAGACATTTATAGCTAAATGGATGCACCTTGAGGCCATCCTCTTAAGTGAAATAAACAGGACGGACATGTGTAAATACTGAATTGTTTCTCTGGTGTGAGAAATGGAGAGTGTAAATAAGGATCAAGATGTATAATAGATACTGTGAAATAGGAAGAAAATGGTCAAAGGGGACGGGGAGCTGGGGGGGGCGGTGGAGCAGGGGAAAGGAAAGAAGGGAAAGAAAAATTAAAAAAAAGAAGGGGCCAGGGATTTAGTTCAGTGGTTTTACCACCTGCTGTGCAAGCGCAAGGACCAGAGTTCGATCTCTGGTACCAAAATAAAATAGGGAGGGGTGAAGAGGTTGAAGGGAGGGAAGGGGAAAGGGAAAAAATAAGAACCTAGATATATCATGTACAGGTACAAATTCCCAATGATGAATGTGATCATGAGGTATACCTAAAATGTACCAATAAACTTAATAAAAAATGCATGTACTATAGTCATTTCTCCACTTTGGACAGTAAAACTGCCCTTTCTGTGTACATCTGTAACTATATTGATCTCTATGCTGCTATAATAAGCATCTTCATGCTTTCACTTCTATACTTCGTGAAGTTTTAAAAGTATCTTTTTGGGATACTGGTTATTGCTAGATTTTGCTCCTCCCACCTCCTTTTTTTTCTTGTGGTGCTGGGGACTGAACCCAGGGCCTTATGCATGCTAAGCAAGTGCTCTAGTATTGAACTTTATTCCCTGGATTTTGCCTTTTGATGTAATCAACACCTTGCTTTTCGTTATGAGACTGTAAACATTATTTTTTTTTGGTACTGGGGATCGAACTTGGGACCTTGTGCTTGTGTAAACATTTTTATTATTGCTGTAATTATAATGTTGTTGACATCCTATTTACATTATCACTTGGAAAATTAAAAAATGTCTTATATGACAAATTACTTATCTTATTTTAAATTCTGTTAGCAATTATTTTAAAACACAGATGCTAGTAATCCTGCATTCACCTAAATATTTGGATTAAGTTTTATTTCTACGATTGTGGTTTCTAGGTTTCTTCTAGTTTCTTTCTAGGCTACTTCGCCTCCCACACTTCTCACCCCTGAAGGTCATGTCCTCCATGACTCATCCTGGACCCATTTGCATCCAAGATCCTCACAAGGAAAAGCACAGTGACTGTGTCCTGAAGGCCATGATGTGCTGCTCTCTGGAGTCCTTAAAAAGCTCTGTCTGATTATTTTTTTGCTTACAATGTGTGGGTAACTTCCCGGTCACACAGCCCCTGGAGCCGGGAGGGAGTTCGGCAGCTGACTTGTTGTTTTTGTTTTGGTTTTTTTGGTACTGGGGATCGAACTCGGGACCTTGCACTTTTGAGGTAGGCGCCGGAACCACTGAGCTAAATCCCTGGCAGCTGCCTTATTGTAGGCATGAATCATCTCCCAGTAGGTGGTGATGGACTCCTCAGATAATGCTTAATTATGCGAACTGTTACTTTAATTGAGTAAAAACTTTATATTTAACTGAAAAACTTTTTATAGTTAAATACAAATTCAGAAACAGGCGTTAGGGCCAGGGCTGTTGTTGCCTGGTAGAATGAATTAGTGGTTGTTGTATTTTTTTCTATGATTTGTAACAGTTTATATAATTTGGAACAATCTATTCCTTTATAGTTGAAATAATTCACCATTACATCCATCAGATGAACATGGCTCCTCTGTGAGATAATTTTTTCAACCTCCTCGGTTAACAGTATCTTCAGATTTTTTACTCTTTTTTTTTTCTGGTACCGGGGATCAAACTTGGGACCTTATGCTTGCGAGGCAGCAAGCTGAGCAACCACTGAGCTAAATCCCCGGCCCCAGATTTTGTATTCTTATGAAACCAGTTTTCAGGAATCAGGAACCAGCTTTCAATTTTTGGTAGAAAATTATAATTTTTGTTAATGCTTTTATGTTTATTAGTGTGTAGTTTTTAATTATATAACCTGTAAGAGAGATCTATATATTCATTCTTATCATTACTTGTTTGTGTTTTTTTCTATTTGTTTTACCCAAGTTATATTTTATTAATCTAGTTCTTGGATATATTGATATAATTTGTGCTTTTAACTTTATTGTCTTCTCTATTTTCCTTTTGGAATTTTTATTCTCTGTCTGAACATCTTATATTTTATGCTGAATTATTTTACTAATATTTGGTAATGACAATATTAAATTATGCATTGCCCCTTAAGAGACTGATGTCACTGTGTAATAACAGGTCACAATATTTCATGAACAAAAAGAAGCATAAGGAAATGTTAAAAAACCCAAGAAAGCGGATTTAATTTTCACTTCCCTTGCCCTTTTAACATGTGTACAACAGTCTGTATTACTGAACATTAGTGAAAATGACTTCTCCCAACGTGGCCCTCCAGTCCAATAACAAGCTGTGTGAAGCTCGTTGCTGTGATGTAAGGAAGTCAGCAATTCATTACATACTCGTCTACACAGTGTTCTCTTTCTGAATACAGTTCTAGCTTTATTTCTCTCGTTTAATTTGTGACTAATGCTTTATGGAATGGACCCTTCTTTTTTGTTTTGGGTTTTGGGAGCCTCAATGACACCTGTGCGCATTTCTGGTGTATGTGTAGGATCACATATAGGTTAGGAATTATCCTACCCTGTTACATTTTATCCATTTAAGTAAGCTGTCTTCTTTCTGGACTAAGAAGGTTATTAAATAAATATAATTTACAAAATGAAGAAAGTGACATTCTAAATATTTCTTTGAGAAAATAAAGTAGCAGGTAAGTCTGCTTAAAAAACAAAAAAACAGGACAGGCATGGTGGTGCACGCCTGTAATCCTAGCCCTCAGGAGGGTGAGACCAGAGGATTGCCCTAAGTCTGAGGTCAGCCTGGACTACATAGTGAGTTCTTAACTGTTTTTTTTTCTTTTTTGGTACCAGGGATCAAACTTGGGTCTTTGCGCTTGCACAGCAGGCGGCGAAACCACTGAGCTAAATCCCCAGCCCACTACATAGTGAGTTCAAGGCCAGCCTGAACTGTATAGTGAGACCCTGTCTCAAAAACTTAGCCAACCAAACACACACCCACCAATTCTATTTGATAGGAGAAATCACTGTCCTAGTGCTGTGAACAGTCAGGTCAGGAGGCAGCACCATGCTACCAAGTCCCTCTGCCGAATTTGTGTTTTCTCTGGACACTGCCAGGAGCAGCTGCCTCTGCTGCTGAGACTGCCTCACAGGCCAGGACACTGCTGCCCCAGGCCCAGCTGGCCTACCTGCTCCTCCTGCAGACACCTGTGAGGCCCAGGGTAGAGTTACCTTTAAAAAGTCTTTGAATTCTCCGTCTTCATCTGTCTTCTGCTGTAACAGAGCTGCTCCGTTCAGCTGACAGCTGCAGAACCTGATGTAAGCCTGCATGTGGAACAGCTCGGCTGCAAGGATGTCCCCGATCATCTGCACGGGCATCTTCTCACCCCCGGTCTTCTTCCGGACCCGCAAGGCCCTGCGGATGACACATTCTCACCTGTTTCTCAGCAAATGTTCTCGGCAAGTAAAAGATGAGTGCCAGGGTGACCCATGGTAGTGACACCACCCTGGGAGGGGAAGGCCAGGAGGAAAAGGAAACAGCGGAGCCAAAGCTGTGCTGGCCAAGCCAAGCCAAGGAGAATGCTGGCCAAGGAGAAAAAGAAAATGAAGCCTACGCACACGACTGTCACTGGCCTTTAGAACTGCTTTGGTATCATTTTAACCCCGGAAAGCAGTTTCTTCTGAAAAATTATAACCAATTTAACTGAGCCAAGAAGAAGGAAATTCCCAGTGTGTGAGGGAAGAAAAGGGCACGGGAGCCAAAGAGGCCTGGGCAGAGGTAGAGGGCACTGTCGGCCGGGACTCCCCATCTGGGCCTGGGCCTCTGTCCTCGCAGGAAGAGGGACAGAAAGCGACTCAAGTGTGGGACTTCATGCGGGGTTAGCGGCTGCCAGACTGGATGGTGGCGTCTGGCCCTGAGCTGCAGCTCCTCTTTTTGTTGCTCTTTCGCCTCCTGCCAGAGCCACATCTTAGAATCACAGGTCTTAGCACCATACATTAGTATACTGCTTGTTTGATGATTTAATTTTGTCTTGGTGTAAAGTATTTTCTTTGTTCTGTTTCTTTATTTTGCTCAATAATGATGTATTGTGGTTATGGAGCATTTCACAAAATGAGAATAGAATGCAAAGCCTGAGGGGATAAAAAACAGCTGTGACGACCAGGGACGCTCATGACTCACTTCAGCAGCTTTGTGTTGGACATGATGAGCTCTTTCCAGTTAACAAAGATCAAGGCCATTTCTCCTTCTGTGAGAAAGCCTGACTCCGCCATCCGCTTCTGAAAAACCTAGGTTCAAAACAGAGGAGAAACAAATTAGCTGCGGCGTGGACATACACCCTAGGCATGGTCTAAATCTATGTGTTCATACATTCAAACTTTGGAGGTCTGGGTACTTCTAAAAAAGCATAATGAGGACTGTACATTTTAGACTGCACAATTTCCCTACTGTTCCGCTCTCTGAGCTCTGATCAAAACTGATTCTTTCTCCTCCTGCAGAGGGGCTTCTCTGCCCTGTCCCAGAGGGACACCAAGAAGGCTGAACAGCCCCGCCACAAAGCATCTGAGTGCTGTAAGACCTCGCAGAAATGTGGGGGCTGGACTCCAGCCAGGCTGAGCACGTGGAGTTTTCGGACAGCCTGAGAAGTCCAGTGGCGACTGACGCTGCCCAGGGTCGACCTCGAGCAGAGGTGGAGTGAGGGGCTGGCTGCCGGAGGGGAAATCACGCTGCTCTCGGTCCGTACCGCTGCACACGCAAACAGCACACGCATCCTCACTCAGCTTCACAGGTGATGGGGGTGAGCTCAATGGTGCCGAAGAGTAAAGGCGACAGAGCCTACAGAGTCACAAAGCTGGAGCACTGGGGAGCCAGAACCAAAACACCACTCCCTCTGATTCTAAGTCCAAGTCCCCACTAAACAACACGACCCCAGGGAGTGGCTTTAAAAGCCTTGAGGAAATACTGTTCTCTGCAACAGCTCTTCTCATAGTGATCTTTCCAAAATAACCACCACGGACACACTGCCTCCTGTTGAGACTGCTCAAGGGCTCCCCACTGGCAGCAGGAGATGTGAGCTCCCTGAGGTCCACACCTGTGAGACGACCCCCGCTGAGCTCAGGAACCCGGCTTGCCAGCCACACCGGACAACTCGAAGGTCCCTTGGCCCTCTGTACCCGGCTCCGCCCCTCTGCTTCCCGAACCTGGCTGGCACATCTTCAGCAAGACGCGGGCCTCCAGGGCCCAGCCCTCGCTGCACCCCACTCTGCCTGTCTCCAGCAGGCCTGTGAACCCCTGGGGCACAGGCGCTTTCTCTTTCATCTCTAGTCTCTGCCACACTGCTTCTCACGCGGTGATGTGAGCGAGCTGAGCTGCAGGGGGAGTCTTGGACTCTAGACGTGGACACTCCCGCCAAGGGAGCACTGTGGCTCCAAATGAGACCCAGATGCCCGAGGCTCGTATATCCAGAGCAGCCCCAGAACCCCATTTGCTGGAGGCTGCCGCTGAAGGCGGGTATGCGGCTGGTTGTCCAGTTCCTCCTTATTCACCGCTCTATGCCACTTTTCTTTCTTCCCGCAGCATCTGTGCTGGGTCAGTGAGGGAAGTGAAGGGAATGGAAGGGTGGGCCCTCCGGGAACGCAGCTTCTCACCCCTACCACATTCCACAAGGGACGCAGAGTGGGAAGAACCAAGGCCCTTGCGGTGAGGCGGGGGCCTGGGGTGGGCATGCAATTGTCTGCGCACCTTCTGACCTCGAGCCAGAGACTTCCACGGCCACTCTTACCCCACAGGCTGACACTCACAGGGAAATGATGACGACATGGGCTCTCGGCCAGTGGTCCTGCCAGAGACGTGCAGACCCAAACATCTAATCCACTCAGGACCACAGAGGGCCAGGCTGTCTCGGGACCCGGGTGAAGGGCAGACGGTCCCTGCTGTCACGGAGCTCTCAGGCTGGGGGGAAGATGGGGGTCCCTAGCCGGGAGGCACAGGGCAGGGTGTGGTGGAGCAGGAGCGCTGTGCACACCCCAGGACCCAGGCTGCCTTTAGGGCAGAGAGCGACCAGGCCAGGCCTCTGCTCAGCTCCACCAGTAAGGGCACGGCCAGGTGTACACCGCAGCTGCTGGGCCTGTAGAGACCCTCACCCTCCTCAGGAGCTTTCTTATATAACTGTTCTCCTCACCTGAGGGCCTCGGCACAGTTACTGGGAACCCAGAGCCATGGAAACCAAAGTATGGTAACTATAAAGTCTGCCTTTGTTCACTCAAACAGAATCCACTGTAAGAAGCTACTCTCAGACGGCTGCAACCACCGTAGAGGTCACTGGTCACAGCAGGCGCAAACAAACAGTAAATATGAAGCATCTGGGAAATAGTTTACAATTCACTCCTTGTAGGTTTTCTCAAGTGACACAAACATCAGTGAGCACTTCCACTGCTTTACCGTTAATTCCTCTGGAAATGACAGAGTGGAAAATTCCAGCCAGGTGCCAAAGCAGCGGAGGAAATACAGAGAGGCAGAAGTGTGAGGTCGAGTCCGGCTGGGGCCTTTACACATACTCTGTTCCCGTCCCTCTTTGATGGGCTCCCCACAAACAACTTGGGCATTTCCATGTCCGCTGGTTCTCTGCTCTCGAGCGAGCCGAGCTGGGGGACAGAGACGACGCCCTCACCAGCTCCTCGCTCCTCCAGCACCACCGCGACCCACTCGCTGCCGACAGCATGGTGAAGCCGTGAGGGCCGCTGGGATCCGCACGCTGTGAGCGCGCCTACCTGGAGGTGAAGCTTGGGAGCCTGGGCCTAGCGTGTGTGAGCTCCTGGCTTCGACTCCCAGCACCGCGAGAGGAGACAGGAAGAAGCGAGGCCTCGCTTCCGCTCCCGGAGTGAGAGCCAGGAGGCTGGCGCCTGGCGTCCGCCGTGGGACAGCAGGCGCTCCCGCGCCGGTCGGCGACAGCTGCTCACCTCGATGACCAGCTGCAGGTCGTCCATGTACCGCTCTTCCGTCTGAATCAGCTCATGGATGTAGCCCTGTCTCTTCCTCTCAGCCGGCTGCATTGTGTCCAGGGCTTGGAGATCGGCGCACCCTGCAGAAAGACGGGGCAGAACTTAAGATATTATTGTTGCTGTTTCTGTAGAAAAGAGACATCTCTCAGCAGAGGCGCTGGGCTGACAAATGCTGCTTCGAGAGCACAGCGCTTCAGGAGACGACCGGCTGGCTCTCCAGGGCGCAGGCCTGGGCCGAGGTGCGTCAGCGAGCTGCTTGGCTCTTCGGAGCAGCGACGTCAGCATGGAGGACTCTGGAAACGGCTGCCAAGCTCGCAGACTCACCGCCTCAAGGCATTTTTGAAATTACAGAAATAAGTAAATGAATCAAACACCTGAGACCAGTGTTTTCTAAACCACAGATCTTGAGCCATCAGTGGGGTCACTATCAATTTAGTTTTTTTTTTTTTTGGTACCGGGGATAGAACTCAGGTCCTTGCGCTTGCGCAGCAGGCAGCAGCACCACTGAGCTAAATCCCCGGCCCTCAGTTTTTTAAAATGCTGGTCAAGCTCAGCATTAAAAAAATAGTGTGTCATTAGCACTGCTTTGGTAGGTACTGTGAAAGTTTTCAGTTTTACACACACACACACACACACACACACACAGTAATGCCTTGGTTCATGAACACTTCTGTTTGGAAAGAATTTGTTCTCAAACAAAAGCATTCAACAAAATTTTGCTTCTGTTCACAAACTCCACATCAGGTGACGACCACAGCCATCTTCCCCCCACAAACACAAGTGTGGCCATATTCCCCCAAACCGTAAAACAAATTAAGTTTGTAAACCGAGGTACCATTGTGTGTGTGTGTGTGTGTGTGTGTGTCTGTGTGTGTATTTGGGGATCAAAATGTATTTCTTACTTTGAGCTATTATTATTTAAAAAACGTTTAAGACACATGTCTCTAGATTTCTCAAGGGAAGATTTTGAGGTTAGAGAACCTAAAATTCCCGGGGTCCAGCAATTCACAAGACCGCTGCTTTAACACAGTGGACGAGGAGCTCCTGGTTCTGGGTACAGTGCAGGCACCCCGTCACAAGAGGTTTGGAGGAGTCACAGCAGCTGGTGTCAGGGTGAGGGCAGTGGGCTCCCTCTGGCTCTCCTTCCTCACACAGCTCATCAGAGCTGAGCCAGAGGTCACACTGTGAAGTGACACATTCCAGAGTCACTCAGGAGGCAAGGGCCTCCTGACGCACAGGGCACAGCGAGGCGGGGATGCCTCAGGAACTCCTCAGGAAACGCAAAAACAGGCAGGTGTGTGAAAGAAAATTTGTGGGAAGCCATGGGTTTGGACAGACAAACCAATATAGAATTTAATCACCGACTGAGTTTTGGTTGGTTGCAGAAGGCCCTGTAGTCAATTAACCAACTAAGCTATAACCGATTAACTAGTCAACTGTACCCAAACGATCACTTGGGTGACTAAGTTGTAGTCGATTAAATTGTTTTCTATGCCTCACTTTTGTGTTTTCTATAGATGCTATCAGATCACGATGTTGGGAGTTCTCAGAATCTTCTAGTAGCTACCCAATTTGTTAGTTGTTTTTGATTTATGTTGTTTTGCTCAAGTAAACTTTTCTAAAATGTAACAGCACTTTTCAACAGCACCTGGGAAGCTGTAACACCAGGTCTTAAAGGGGATCTTTTTCTGATTTCCTTTGTATCTTTATTAATATTTTGTTCAGACTTTGGATTACAGATCATCTCACTTTTCATTTTCATTTTCCACAGATGTGGACCACAGCTTTAAAAAATGACTGTCACAGGGGAGAGAACTGAGCGTGGACGATTACTTTGAGCTTCATGGAGTCTGCACTGTACTCCGCTCTGGGTGGCGAATCAGAAAGGTTCACAGGGAAGGCAGTTTGGGCCACTGTGCAGCGACCACAGCAAAGCGTGGACACCTGGCGGAACGGTGCTGCAGATGATGCTGGTGCTGTCATGGCCAGGTGGCGGACGGACCCAACCAGGACGCTTTCTAAGGCTAGCCCACCTCTTAGCACTCCACAAACTCCACTCATTCATGTTCTGTGTCCAAGATTTTTTTTGTGTGTGTGTGTCCAAGATTTTTGACAGTTCCACCTCTACTATCATTTAATTAGTATTTTCTCTAACTTTATTCATGTTTGAAGTTAAATGTGGCTGTTATTGTTTCTTCTAAAAGTCTTCTAAAAGAGATGTAAATAAATATAATCAATAAAATAAAATGCACTGGCCTGGGGACCATCTTGTGCACCATGCCCTGTGTAGCCTGGGGTGCTTGTCTCACATTTTGGGCGACAGTGATTTACATTAAAACTTGCAAACCCTGGCCTGTGTGGATTAATGGCTTGGGACAACAGGGAAAGCCTCAGGTTCTCTGCCATTTCTAAAGCTCGGACTCAGGTGACGCATGCTTTACCGAGATGGGTGGGGACAGCCCCCGTGTGCCGTGCCCAGCTGACACTCGGCAATTCATTACCACGGCTCTGAACTTCTGCCCTCCGCCCTCACTCCGGATGTCCTTCAGCTCTCTGCTCACTTGTTCCTATACTTATTTCCTGGCCTTCTAAAGCCACCATCCTTAACTGGCCTGCTCCTCCATGGCCTTTCTCTTTCCTTCCTGCTGCTATCTTCAGTTTTCACTGCTTCCTGCTCAGTCCAGCATGGGTTAAATGTTCTTCCCATCCTCTTATTTAAAATAAACACACAAACACCCTTGCTTCAACCCAGCTCCCTCCTTGACACCCCCTCTCTTTTGCCACACTGCCAAACTCACAAGAGGGGTCCATCCTCCCAGCTAACTCCCTCCACCTCTCCTCATCATGTCTCGAAGTCTGGAGACTCTTATGACTTCTGTCCCACCGCTCGGCTGACCCAGCGCTCAGGATGGTGACAGGCACCTCAGTGTTGTCAAATGCAAGGAGCTCACCTGCCCCTCAGCCCCTCCACTGCCCGTATTGCTGCTCCTGGGCTAAGCCCCTGCTGTGGAGGCCTGGGACTCCTCCCTCAGCCTTGGACTCCTCCTGAATGTCCCCTCTATGCGGCACCCAGTTCTCTGCTCCCTGCAAATCAGCCAGTACCAAAGTGGGCTATGATGTTCTTGTCCTGTAAGGAAAACCTTGACCATGCAGACTGTGAATTGCCCTCGTCGGCCTACGACACCCACTGGCCTACTAGGTTCTGAAATCCCCTGCTCTCAAGAAATATTGTTTGATAAACCCAGAGTTGCTAACGTTTACTTGCCACAGACCCTCTCTTTTGAGGGAAGGGACAGTAAAATGTTTTGGTGGAGAATTAGGGTTTAGGGATAGAACAAACCTGTACTGTCCAACAGAGCAGCACTGGCAACAGGTGACTACTGAACACTAGAAATGCGGCCCAAATACAGATGCACTTCATTACTTAAACACAGTGTGCACTACGATGGAACTGAGATCTGTACTTCTTTTTTTGGTACCAGGGATCAAACTCGGGACCTTGCACTTGCGAGGCAGGCGCCGGAACCACTGAGCTAAATCCCTGGCTCCGAGATCTGTACTTTAACATGTCAATAATGTGACTCCTACTGTCCTTAATCCATATAGTTGGCACACCTACTTCTTCCGCTAGTGCTCAGGGGCTGTGTCTAACAGTTGGTCATAGCAGGCTGGGCACCGTGCTCCGACTATACTGTTAAGTGCTGACTACTGTGTTCATCCTGGGCCTCCCTGTCCACAGATCCATGGCCTACCTTTCTCCTTTCTGTGCTGCAAGGGGATTGAGCCTGCAGGCTGATTTCGCTAAGCTCCCATTCTAGTTGGCTTCTGCCTGGGTTTGACCAATGATAGGAGGTTCTAGCAGGAGACTGAAGATGATGGGGTGGACGAAAAAAAAATCCTCCCACCCCAACAGTGAGATGATAAGAAAGCTTTTGTCTCTGCTGGGAGAAGCCTGGAAATGCTGGGCTTGCATAGCACACACACGTGGTGTCCAACAGTTCCTGAACCACATCCACACAGGAACTGGCCCCACTGGTGACATCCCAGGATGGCTGGCCAAAGAAAATGCACGGCTGGTCTGGAGGGTCACTCTCACCGTCTCAGTTCCACAGGATTTCCATAGAAAACCAGGTCTCAGTAAAGATGATCTCAGAGTAAAAAGGTTATAAAAATATGGAGCAGATCTACCACAAATTAAAAAATGAGCACTGAGAACCCCAAGAACATAAGATAATAGAACAAAACCCAAATGGAGATGTAAAATATATATGTTTGTATAGCTCACGACATATATGAAGGGATTTAAGACATAAGTAAAGCCTATAAAAATAGGTAAATTTGAAAAAGAATAAAAATGGCAAATATTGTCATGGAAATTATTAATAGCAGATTAAACACATCTGAGAAAAGAATTAGTAAATCTGAAAAACAGACCTAAAGAAATTACTTAGAATGCAGCCTGGAAAGAGACAGAAAATACAAAATGGAGGTTATGGGACACAGAAGGGTGTACCCCAACATACGTCTCAGAGGGGTTTAGGGAGGGAAACGAAAAGAACAGAGAGAGGCATTGCTGAGATTATAGCGGATGGGACTTTGGTAGAATTAACTGACAAGTGATGCAGTCCTTCAGCTTAGGAGGAACAATGGTTCCTGATTAGGAAAAAATAAAAAATAAATCCGAATCTAGACTGCATAATATTACGGAGAAAAAAAATCATTAAACAATCAGAGAAGAAAAATCAGAATAAGCACAGATAGCAGCCATTAAACTGGCTGCAGATCTCAACACAACAATAGAGTACAGAGAAAAAACAGCTGTCACTTTAGAAATCTAACTATACTTATGTGGATGAGTGAAAATAAAAATGATTTCAGGCAAAATCTGAGTCTCAGACATGAAGGAAGGAATTATTAAGAGATAAATTTCAGAGGTTGGGGTGCAGCTTAGAGGCACCACACTTGCTAGCGTGTGCTGGTCCTAGATTCAGTCCTCAGCAGCAGGGAAAGGGGAGGGGACAGGACAGACACACAAGTACTTCAGGAAGAAGGAAACTGAGCAAGGACATAATGAGATACAAGCCACAGCAGTGACCAAAAAATATTAGTCCATATGCAAAAAATAAAAATAATCATTGTATAAAATAACAGCATTAATAGTAATGGCTAAGTTGGTAGGTAATTTAAGGTGAATTTAGGACAGAAACATAACAACATCCAAGAGAAGACTCATTACAGATAAATCACTCTGCTTGTCCCTGATCAGAACAGAGGCACTGATTAAATTTAGACTTCATTAAGGCAAACATGATGTTAAAAACGGAAATGTAACTAGTGAAAGAACAGACATAGAACACATAATTTCCAAACCAGTAGAGGCAAATAAAGGAAAATAAAGGAACTCAATGAAGTCAGGTGTGGCTGCACATGCCTGTAAGTAATCTGAGCACTCAGGAGGCTGAGGCAGGAGGATTACCACGAGTTTGAGGCCAGCTTGGGCTACATAGTGAGTTCAAGGCTGGCCTGAACTACATAGTGAGAACCTGTCTCAAAAAACAACACACACATAAACAAAAACAAAACACACACACACACACCACAAAACAAAAGAAAAAAAGAAAGAAGTCCCTATGCTGCCAGAACAGGGTGGGGGAAATACAACAGATACAGTTAAAAGCATCAAATCATTCTCATCAATGAAAACAACTTAAATCTGCTAGTGAAAAGAAAGACTGGGTTAAGAACACTAAAAATAGAAATGTTGTAGATAGAGGGCTGGAAAAAGCTGCATAAACAAATTCTAAAGTAGCAGCTGGGGAGTTTATTAGCAGTAGACAGCTTGGGCTTCCAGGGTCTGCAAAAGATGATTTCCATAATTCACCTGGGAGATGCAATAGTTCTGTCTTATTTACCACAAACAGAAAGCCTCAAAGTATGAAATAAAAGATAATTATTCCCATCTACCCCCCAAAAAGGAAAAAAGACACAACTATAATCATAGTCGTGAAGTTTAACGTTAATTCTCAATGACAATTAGTAAGAATGTGAAAGATTTGAACATTAAGCTTGGTACGATGGGCATGTATACAACAGAATATAGATTATAAGAACTCACAGAATGAGTTTCAATAAACACTAGAGAATCTACTGTTTGGGAAAACATCTACTGAATACAGCAGGAGAATTACAGATTTAACATCATTTTCAAATGTTTTAGTTTAAAGAAGAGGAGCTGGCTGGGTATGGTGGCACAAGCCTGTAATCCCAACACTCAGGAGGCTGAGGCAGGAGGATTGCCACGAGTTCAAGGCCAGCCTGAGCTACATAGTGAGTTCACAGTGAGTTCAAGCCTTGCGTGGCTGACACAGGGAGAACCTTCTCAAAAGAAACAAAGCCTCTCAGTATGCCCAGGTAGCATGCTCAGGACAGCTGTTACCCAGCCCCTCCCCTGTGGGGCGGGGTGCTGGGGATGAAGCTGGGTCTGCACACCTGGGCAAGTGCTGTCCCACTAGACCCCATCCCCAGCCCCTCTTTAACACTCTTTACTCCCCCTTGGCTTCTGAGTCAGCGCCTCCCACCCTCTGGCCCCTTTGCGCTTCCTCCTCCTCTGCTCTCCAGACTCCTGTTGAGCGCCCTGCACGCCAGGCCTTGGGGCCCTGCTCGGTAGCCACAGCCTGCTGGCCTGGTGTAGTCTCGGACTTGTGTGTGCACCGATACGCTCCCAGTCACTATTTCTGGGCCTCTCCATGTGTCTGCCTGCTCAGTGTTCTCCATCTGGATGTCTAATAGGCTGATCAAGGAGACGCATCAAAAGCCAACCCGTTCCACACTGTTATTTTCCACATCGGTTAACGGCAATGCCGCCTGACCGCTGAAGACACTCTTCACTCCGTTCTCCTCACTGGCTCTATCTTCAAACCCATCCGTACTCCGACCTCTCCTCACCAGGATCACCGTTGCGTGACCCAGGCCACTGTCACCTTTGCTCCAATATCTGCACTAGCTTCCTCGTGAGCTTCCTCGCTTCTGGTGTCCTCCCTGCGCTTTTATCTAGCAAGCCAAGCAATTCTGTTAAAACCTCCCGGACTGTGTCGCTCCTTTCACTAAACCCTGCAGTGGGTTTTTCTCATTCCGAGCAGAAAGCCCACAGGAGCTTAAAGAACCCCCACCCTCTGGGTCCCGAGCCCTTCTCGCCCGCTCTGCTCTGGCTTGTCCCAGCGACCTGGAACCCCTAACCCTAACCCTCAAACACCACAGCGCGCTCCCTCTGCAGGCCCTTCATTCTAGAACACCCTCCAGGCGCTGCCCGCTGGCTCTCCAGACATCCTCCGAGCCCTTGCAGTCCTAGCTC